GAGCAGGGCGGCCAGGCCTGCCCACAGGGCCAGGGCCGCGGGCAGGGGCTCAGCGCAGAGGCGGAGCTTCTCTGGCTGACTCCTTGTTCAGGGTCACAGAATGCCTGGATGTGAGTGCTCCTCCCAATGCCCCCGGCTGCTGCCCCCAGGCTCCTGCGCCCCATCTCAGATGGGTCGTGGGGGCAAGAGAGGTTTCCGGCCGACACCCCCACGAGCCGCCTGCAGCTGTGGCCGCCTCCTGGCCTGCGGGAGCTGGATGGCTCACCGTTCCCTTCCCTCTTCGCTTCCCCTTTCCCCACGGGGACTGCCCGCCTGCTGGCGAGGGCTGCTTCCTGTCACTGACTCACTGTGGGTGGGATGGGATCCCTTCCTAACTGCCGGCTGAGCCCTGGGCTCGGCCCCCTGCACCGGGGGTGCCCCTGCCCTCACCTCCCTCAGTGCCTTGCTAACGGCCCCCAGGGAGGAGTTCCCAGGTCCCGGCCAGAAGGGGCCTAAATCTCAGGGCCCTGCACTGGCAGGCGGCTCAGTGGTTGGCATGTAGTCCCTCCCGTGCACTGAGGATGGTAGGTTCAATTTTTGGTCAGGGCATCTGCCCATTTTGCAGGTTTGAAGCCAGTTGGGGCGCATGCGATAGGCAACCTATCAGTGTTTCTCTCTCACATGGGTGTTTCTCTCCCCCCCTCCCCTCCTCTCTCTCTGAAATCAATTTAAGAAAACATTGTCAAGGCCCCCTGCCTAGGAGATGCCCTGGTGACCATGACAGTCCCGGTCTGGGAGGGCTGATGGCCCTGCCTGGCACGAGAGGGTGGAGTCCGTGCAGCTCACCTGTCCGCGCTCGCACCCTGGCCTCACGCACTGGCCAGTCCCACAGGGGCTTGCTGCCCACCTGCTCGAGCGGAAGGGCTCTGAGAAGTCTAGGCCCCGGTCCCTGATCCCCCAGCGAGGGCCGTGGTTCCGTCCAGCTCTGCCTGTGTTGGCCGGCACCAGGCGCCCCGGCTCCCTCAGCCTCTGTAACGCGGGATGAGAGCGGTGCCCGGCAGGGCTGTGGGCGAGGAGGCACGGAATGCCCGCCCGAGGGGCTCAGAGAGGCTGGCTCCCCATAAATCCCTGCACTGCTGAGGGTCCCAGGCTCGTGGGGAGGGCGAGTCAGAGCCTGGGTTCACCGGCTTCTGCTCAGCAGGAAATCCGTCCTCGGGCCACAGGTCGGGGTCTCTGTGCCCCACCAGCCGCCCAGCCTCCTGCCCGTGGGGTCAGCTGAGGGGGCACTGGAGGCTGGGGCCCTCATGCAGCTGCCACTCCAGGCTCAGTCCTGCCCGGAGACTTCACACGGACCCCACTCCCGGGCATTTTCAGAGTCCAGAGTGCTGCCCACTCCCCGCCCACCTCCTGGGGAATTCTCAGCAGAGCCTTTCGAGGCTGAGGCTGGTCTGGAGCGCTCGGGGTCTTTCCAGACCACGCCTCCTGCCAGGCTGCGGCTGCTGGCCCCCCGCCGAGGGACGTCACCTGCCCACCAGCAACAGAAAGCAATTGTTGTTGCTGCTGTTAACCTCATCCGAGAATTTTCCGTACAAACCATGGCCTCCATTTTTGAATCGCAGAGGACTGCGATTGGAGGGGGTGACTGCTCCAGGTCATGGGACCAAGAGGAACCGCAGCCAGAGTGTAACGGAGGCAGCCTGACCCCGGAGGCCGAGGTCTCTTAACACACGCACCAGTGCTCCCAGGTCGGCGAGTCTGCCTTCCTGGATGCCCGGCCACAGAACCTGACGCGCAGGCCCAGAGAGGTCGTGCTGCCTGCCTGGGCCACACAGCTGGTGGGGAGCAGAGCCAGGAGGAGACCCTCTTCCGGCCGTGCCTGCCCACTGGTCACCTGGCTGGTGATG